AGGCATTAGATGCTTTCTATTTGGTGACACAAGTCGACACGTTATTCTTTAGATTCTTTCCACTTAGTGGCAGAAATCGACGCCAACATTAATTGTTTTTCATACAAGTGATACTGAATTTAAAGTTATGTATTTCATACTCAGATAATGGCTTACTTTGGAGAAGTTATTGCATAATACCACAGATTTATAAAAAAAAAAAACTTCACTTTTAATATGAGCTAACAAGATTCAGTAAAGCACACAGTTTTGAGCTTGTACAGATTGTAAGTAAAAACTCAGTTGAATCTTACTTGTCAGAATTTAAAGGAACATGCAACTGTTATGATATCATAATTGAGAATTATCTGAATTTTGATACAGCAATTGTCATTTCATCTTTGCATTCAATGAGTAACAAAATTACACTTGTGTTGACTTGTTACCAAGTGAAAAATACCTTTTATTATTCATGGAATGCTAAGAAAGAGAAGATTTTTATTGACTCATGTCACTAATGGTACTTTTTAGCAAGAGAGACAGTGAATTAACGCTATTGCATCATATCTTTATTTTATGTCTAAAAAATGATAAAGATAGAATAACACAATAGCTCTGATAGCACACTCCCTGAATGCAATGTAATACAGTGATCATTTAATCTTCAGGTATGTTCTACTTGGCACTCGCAAGCATTATTTGTCCTTATTTGATAAACAAAGACAAAATGATTTCATGAGCGTTATCAGTATTAAGTGGGATGTATTCTTATGCCCAATTTCTTCACTTCCAGATAAGTTGTGGATAATTTTCCAGGAAATCTCTCCATTGTACTCTAAATGATATCTCTTGGATAAAGTTCTAGAGGTGAAGAAATTGGGCATTAGTGACACAAGTCAACGTTTTAGCTAATTTTCTTTTAAAAGATAATTGATATAAATATTGTTCTGTCCTTAGCATTCAATGAATAACAAAACTAAACTCTTATATTGACTATGTCTTCTAAAAGGAAAGCACTCAAAAATAGAACGACACTTGTATGAACTTCTGTTATCAAATAATGAAAGCACTCATTAGTATTGTTCGTTTTGTTTCTGGGGAGCTGCTCGGGGTTACGATGAATGTCGGACATCGTATGTAGTGTGAATTCTATATTTCAAGTACGCTGGGTTCACTCAGAGCGATCCCGAGCAGCTCCCAAGAGATAAAACAAACAATGAGTTTAACATTAGTAAACAACAAGAATGTAATGATTAACTGAGTTATACTATATCGTCTGTGTTCTTGCTAGAAAGCACTCATTAACTCTCTCTTTAAATTGATTTCAGATCACACAGTATTTTGCTGCTCGTTAAGTAAGAATGGTGACTTAGCGGCGACGGGGGGCGAGGATGATAAAGGATACCTCTGGAATGCCAGTACGGGTGAAAGTATTCTTAATACTGATGATAGCCATAACGATAGCGTTATATTCTCTGATTTCAATTACAATGACAAATATGTAGCCACAGCCGACATGCGTGGCAAAATAAAATTGTGGCGAATAAGTGACAAAACTTGTGTCTGGGAAACTGCTTTAATGAATGATATTAACGTGAGCATTCTTAGATAACAATTAAAACTTTTATAGCTGTACATAAAATAATTTTAAAATAATAAATAATTTAAATAAATAAATAAAATAATTTAATTACGATTTGATCAACTGAAAAGCATGGACCATAGGAACAGGATATAGTAGATTTTAATCAGAAATTGTATGTCCTAGTATATATGATTTCTGATAAGTTGGAATCTATTATTCCTGTTTTTATTGTCTGTATTTTTCAGTTGCGTCTCAAGAAAAGCGATAATTTAAAAGAAAAAGTAAAAAAAAAAGAGAAGTACAAAAAGTTCAACTTTAAGGAATAAATTTGTTGTTCCTTTAAACACAAGCATCTACAACAATTTATTAATAATCTTTTTTTATTATCTAGTGGATAAAGTGGCATCCTTTCAGTGATATCTTAGTAACAGGTGTTGAAACAGGGGAGGTTTATATGTTGAAAACACGAAAGGATGATTACAAGATCTTTGCACAGGGTAGCGGTATTAAATCAGAGACTGGTATAATTCTTCCAGATGGTACGTGATAGGAGTATACGCTTAGATTTTTATTCAAGAGAGAACAAAATATTAATTTAAATCTTGCAGGGAAACGCGCCGTAATAGGATATGAAAATGGTATGATTCATGTAATAGATTTAAAATCGAACACTCTAGTATCCACCACTCCCCCTGACCAAAGACGATTACATGGACATTCAAGCAGTATCATTGCTCTTGATTGTTACATGGATAATAATCTATTGATTTCGGTGTCAGTGGAAAGCCAGACTATACTAAGCACAATACATAATGGCAAGGTACAAGAAACTCTTATTTTCTTAATATTTTCTTCCTCAATAGGAAGAGTAGTATCATTATATTTATATTTTCTCGCTACATTTCCTGTACTTGAAAGAAGATGATTTCTGATAAAATTATTAGTTTTTATCCATATAAAGATTAAAATTGATCGATTATTTAAAATTTTTGTCGATTGCTGATTTGTAACTTAAACCGATGAATTGCGACCCAGAAATCAGAAGCTCCTCAGGCTTATTTTCAATAATTAAGTTTATTATGAAATGAAGTCAGCCTCATATCTATCTACTTTGCAGAATAATAACTTTTACGAAATTATAATTTGCATGAGATGGGAAATCGAATCCAGAGATTTGCTAATTACGAATTTGTTGCTCTCGTCAAATCCACGCGGCATCTCGATTTGTAAGCTTAAAAGTAACTTGATATTGAAATATTTTTCAGGTAATTTGTGTACTTCAAGATTTGCGTAGACGTGGCAATAACAACGATCATATAGAGATTGCAGCTTTTTGTAAAGATCCTACATTTCCTGTTGCTGCAAGTGCAACAGTCACGAGTGAAACATACGGAAAAATTTACATATGGGATATTTCTAAACAAGTATTATTTTTTATATTTTTATATCTAAAGTTTCTTTTTAAACATTAACAAGTTCTAAGTTTCAATTCTCTCCAGAGTCTTAGGAACGAAATGGATCAAGAAGGAGGTATCACAAAATTAGTTTGGACTAAGGCATCAATATTTTTTACAGCGGGATTAGATGGTAAACTAAGATGTTTCGATGCGAAAATAGGTCATTGCCTTCGAATATTCTCAGGACACAAGGGGGCCTTATATGACTTATGCATATCCAGGTAAACCATTAATAAGCAAATTTGTGTTATTTAATTGCGCAAGAAAAAATAAAACAAAATTATTAATCTCGGAAAAAGATTTTGCGGGTAGCTTAATTTCGATGTATTAGTTCCCATTATACTTGTACGAAGTAAACTTTTTTTACTTAAATTCGGACAGCTATTAAAACATATATCAAAAACTCGAATTAAATCATAATTTTAATAAATATTTATAGTTTTGTATAGCAATATTCTTGTGCGATTAAAATTATTTCAATTTTTTGAAAATCACATTTTAAAAATATGGCCTTATTAGAGAATTCTCTGAAATTTCCTGTATATGAAATATATTCGATCTCTTTTGTGATATTTAATATGTTTTATAATTTTTCAGTGATGAGAAGAAAGCAATAACAGTTTCTGACGATGGTACTGCCAGACTTTTTGACATTTCGTCTATATGTTAATATGTGATAAGAGAGGTAGAATATTAAAATATAAAAAAATATGTATATAGACATATATATGTAAGCATATATATAAATTCATGTATATTTACAAAAGTGTGATTTATAAAAAATATATACTTCTTTTTAATAAAACTATAAAAAAGGAGAATTTCAAAAAAATATATTCTCACATATGCGGTCTAAAAAAAAGTTTCTTAATATTGTTTAAATATATTATTAAAATCAAGAGCAAATTATTAAATACAAAGTAAATGAACGGGATTTTCTAATTTCAAATTAGAATTAGATTTGATTAGAATAGAATATTTTCGGGTAGAAATGTGCAGAGGTTTCATTTCTCCGCAGCACTTATAGTACATATAATTTTTTTGTAGAATCTTATTCAGATTCTTTCAGATAACGCTTGTTTGTAAATTCTTTCTTAATAACTTTTTTAATGGACGATTGAGGTGACTATTAAAGCTTATTTGAGGCTTACAATTTCATTGAAAAATTCCTTTTTTATAGTTACGCAATGTATTTACGAATTATAAAAAAAATTTTGTTGTTTTTATTTCACTATTTATGACAGTTTATCTTTGTACCATTCCGTATCGAGTTGGTATCGCTCGTCTCTCCACATAAAATGTGTCGGTGCGTTTCCTTCGCCGTTTTTAAAGTTGAACGAAGCACTGAATTCAATAGCTAGATTAGATCTCACTAAACCGATCCCGCCCGCTTTCTCTGGTGCAGGATGGTACACTCTTCCCGTTTTAATGTTCATAAATAATCTTTGTGGCTCAAACTGCACCTGCGGCAAATTTAATGGTTACTATAGCGTCCGTAAAACTCAGTTAAAATTTTACTATGGTTGGGTTATTTCACTTTTCGATTAACTTTAGCTTATTCTTTTACTCTTTTATTTATCTATTAGTTCAAATTATCACGTAATTTACCCAAAGATAAAACTGATATATAGCTATATATAGCTGATTCTGCAAAATTACCGTCAATAAATCATCTGCGTGCGCATAACTGAACCAGTCCTCTTCTGCGCCAGTTTCCACATTACGCTTTTGAATTACCTTCGTAAAGACCAATGGCAAATCGTCACATCTCACATAATTTCTCTCTACACCACAAATTGATAAGAATGGAAAGTCGTCTGTGTAACGTTCGGTATTGTTTTTTCTTAGGCGCTTGAAGAAGAATGCCAGGAATTTCTTGTCTGCAATAGTTTACAACACGCATAAAAAAGATGCTTTTCAGTTGATAAACATTGATGTATACCTTTAAAGCAGGAGGTAAAATTCCTTATGCGGACATCATCCAGGAACAACTGTAACAAATATTATAAATAATTATTTATGAGATGCTCATTCATTATCCTGGTGAAAATTTTTCCCAGAATTTTCATGCAAATTTGAACACTTTAGAGAAAATCTATGACTTTTTTTAAACAATTTTTCAACATGTGAATTCTGAAATCTTCTAAGATTTCTCCTTCTGTAATTTCTGAGAAAAATATCTTAAATACTTTTTTAGATTTTATAAGATTTCAGAAATTACAGAATAAAAAGATCTTAAAATATTTCAAAATTTATGAAGAATTCTGGAATGAATGTAGACGTTCTTGGTTCTGAAAGTGTTCCAATTTATATTTAAAAAAATCTAAGAAATTTCAAAAGTTAAAAAGTATATAAAAATTCTGAAAAAATGTTGAAATTCACTTTAACATTCTGAAAAATTATATGAAAAAAATCTGAGAAAATGTTTCACCAGTGATAAAAAGTGAAGCTTCAATAGATGAAATGAAAAATACCATGCCTTGATGATCAATATAATAGAAGTATTCTCGCACACGAGGTTTAGGGGATTGGCCTTGAATGTATGTAACGTAACTTCTCCCAAGAATATTGGGTAAAAGAAATGTTCGGCTTACTGCAAAGCCAGTACGCATACAAAGTATCGACGTCATTTTGGTAAATTTGAATTCAACAATAATCACGAGAGATATAACCTAGAATTTCGAACTCTCCTCTTTTTCTCTCTTAAAATTTCTCTCTTAAATCTATCGATATTGAAGAAAAATAATATAGAAATAATTTGTTAGAAAAAATTATTCTTATATGTAAACGGATTCATAATTTATTACCTAAAAAAAGCTGAGTTTAATTGTATCACTGTTTAATATCACACTGTCGTGAATACATCAATTATATACTCGTATATGTATACACATACAGTATATTCCTTTATACAAGTAGACATTAATGTAATAAGAATTTATGCAAGCATTAAACATCAAATCTCTCTTGTAAATTTCATCAATCAACATTACAAGTGGATCATAATTTTAAGCTTCCTTTTTTTTTATCAGTATATTTCACATCTTTAATATTAATGTAAAAAATGCAAAACAGTTAGAACGGCCAAAGCAAGTATAAGTAACACTCCAACTATTAAAAAAAAAATGTTGACGTCTTTCTCAGGTTCTTCTGACATTCGCACGCGTGTCCTTATTGCGAATTGTTTGTACAATTGCCTCGTGGGCCTCTCAGCGGTTTCTTCAGACATTTGGTTTTCTAACAGTGCCAATTTAAGAATTTAAGAATTTAACAGCTTTGAATTTAAACTTGCCAACAATCGATATAACAACCAGTGATGTCATTATCCGGCTATAATTATTTATGGGTGCGTACCGAGTTACGCACGAAGCGCATGATCCATGTTCTTGTTTTCTTCTTCTTCTTATTCCCCTATTTGGTTTTCCGATCCAAAAAAAAAGGGTCACAGTACCATGCGTTGAATTTGAATCAAAATGTGATAACCTCTGTGGGGAAATAAAGACTTCATTTTTCCTCAATTATAAACATATCCTTATTGTCACCGATGAGATACTGGGTGCTTTCCATTTGATGACACAAGCCGATACAAGTGTCATTCTACCTTTGTCACTCTCTGAATCAACAAGGATAAAACGACGTTTGTGTTGATTTATGTTGACTTGTCATCAAGTGCACCGACAAAATACTATTAAAGATCGTCAACCCTGGGCAAATTTTCGGCGGTATAAAAAGGGCTTCAAGAGCTCGGAGGTAATTGAAGAACACTGACATTATCGACAATTGATATAAATTTGCTATTATTATTACATAAATATTTGGCTCATATATTATTAAATTCATTTTTTATTATATAAATGTTCCATAAATAAATATGTATACTTGTAAAGCTATAATTTCTATATATTGCAGAAAAATTACAATTTTTTTCTTCGCAGTTAATCATCTCTGTTGATAATCAAACTTTGACATAAAACTGAAGATTTAGAATTTTAAAGAAAAATCGAGTATTATTGAATTGTAAATGCATAAATACGTCCACTAAACTAATAAATCATAAAATTAGTACAATATTTTTAGTTTTGTAACTCTTAATCATTTCAATATTTACAAAGACGCGAAACTCCTGTAAGGATGTCGATCTTTAATAATATCTCGTAATTCTCGGTGTCAAATGAAAAACACCCACTATCAGTCATAGCTTATGCAAGCGAGACAGCGAAAAAGCTCTGGCAAGTTTCTGTCTTTACAAAAAGGGCCCGGAGATAATTGAAGAACACTGACATTATCAACATTAATTACTAAATCGTTAACAATAAATCCTAGTTATTAGCAATTATTGGTAATAGATTAAACATTTATTTTATCAGCGATAGATAACGCGATTAACCGCCATCTAACGGGGAAATGTAACCGCGACCTCGCGACCTGTACGCGTCACGGACACACCGGACGGTCAGACGGACGGAACGGAGCGGAGCGGAGGGAGAGAAAGAGAGACAGATAGATAGTGACAGGTTCGTGAGATGAGATACGAGACGGTGGCGAGGAGAAGGTGGCACTGGCAGTTTCCCGAGTGAGAGAGAAGCGATCTGTTTTCCACGCTCTCGGGACAGCGTCGCGTTTCTTTTTTTTTCTACGTTCTCCCCGGCGGGGAGCGACGACGCGACGCTACGTGAAGTGACGCCTCGCGACGCCACGCGCCGCGGTGCCCGGTCGCCGAAGAAAGAGGAGAGACCGCGAGAAGAGTGGAGGCTGTTACCGTTTGCTGCTGGTAAACATGTTACGTTCGCGCAGCGGCACGAACAGCGAGAGGAGATCGTACGTCGTGCGCCAACCGGGACTACGGACCGCCGTCGCTGCCAAATAAGTCCGCGCGCGCGGCACGAACATGGCCTCGTCTACGAGGAGGTCCTGGAAGCTCCGTAAGATCATCCTTGTTCATGGGAATACGAATATCTTGGCGCGCGCGAGCGCGCCATGCGTTCTCTCACGCTCTCTCTTTCCCGCTGCATCGCTCCTCTTCTTTCTTTTTTTTTTTCCCTCCTCCGCGAGATCCTGCTTTTCCGCGAAGTCTCCGCAGGTAAACAGTCTCTGTTTACTTTCTCACTTTAGCTGCTACCTCGCAGTTTCTTCCAATTATGGTTACATCTGGCACAAACCGGGAATTTGTCCCGCGGCGAGAATGAGAAGTCGTTTTCGCGCACGGTAGCAGAAACTGGATTATAATGGACGGAGATTTTCCGCCTGTTTTTACGGATGAATAGTTTATATTGGAGGAATGACAGTTCTATTCTTTTTAAATAAGATATTGAATAATTGACTAGAGATTTATTTGATGCATGTAAAATTACAGGCATAAAATTTCAATGGTTAACTTTTGCTCCTCCAATAAGTAACTTCTCATTCTTAGCTAAACGCCACAAATCATTAATAAGTTAGTTTTAATTGTAGTTAAAAATGTTTGAAACAGAAATAAATATATATATTTATGTATATATAAATATAGAGATTATTTATTTAAATTGTGAAAAATTTTTTTAATACATTATTAGCTTATTTTTACTTATCAGTGAAAATGAACTGATCTTTTTAATTTTTCAATCTAAATATGTAATCTCTATTTATATTTTGTTCCAACTCATCATTTTTGATTATGTGATCAGGACTTATTGATTCGTGACCTTTAGCCTAAGAATGAGAAATTATTTATTAGAGGAACAGAGGTTGAATTGAATTTTCATGCTCGTAGTTTCATGAATAAATGAATCTCTCAGAAATCAAATTGATCAATTCCATGAAATCAGAAGTGAAAAAAAAATGATGAAAAGTTATAAACTCTTTTGATAATAAAACTAAGAAATTTATAAGATGTGGAATTAATGAGTTTGACTTCTAAGAGGTTCAGGTGATTCTTATTTATCGAGTAAAGAGATTTTTTTCCAACATGAAAAAAGGAAATTATATAATCCTTGTATGTTCATAAGTAAATCAATCTGAACAAAAATTATTCATGCTATAAAATCTTTTATATTATCTCTCTTGCATCACATTAACATGAATAAATCAGTATGCGTGAAATGTATACTCATCTTTTTTTTTGGCACAGAGGAATTTGTCGCCCATACGCCGAATGTCAATTGCTTGGCGTTGGGCCACAAATCAGGTCGTGTTCTGGTCACAGGCGGTGACGACAAAAAGGTGAATCTATGGGCCGTTGGAAAGCAGAATTGTATTATGGTAATTATTGTGCAATAATTCCATTATCTTTATCCAATTCAAGATTAAACACAGACAATTTGTGTAACAAATGTTTACCTTTATTTCATTTTTTTCTATTTTCTTCTTTCAATAACATACTACATGAGAGGAACAATAAACACTAAATTGTATCTCAAACATTGTTATTGAATTTAAATTTATTAAAATTATACAATGAGAGAGTTAAAGTTACTTCATGAGAGAGTTATAAATATATAAATTATATTTTAAATGTTATTGAATTTAAATTTGTTAAAATTACATAAGATTAATGTTCATCTATTTTCAGAGCCTAAGTGGCCACACTACTCCTATAGAATGCGTACGCTTCGGCCAAACGGAAGATCTTGTATGCGCTGGCTCACAAACGGGTGCGTTGAAGATTTGGGACTTGGAGCATGCCAAGCTGGCGCGCACGCTGACGGGACACAAATCCGGGATACGTTGCATGGACTTCCATCCTTATGGGGAGCTGTTAGCGTCTGGGAGTTTGGATACGGCGATTAAATTGTGGGATATCCGTAGGAAAGGCTGTATTTTTACGTACAAGGGGCATAACAGGACTGTGAATAGTTTAAAGTTCAGTCCTGATGGACAATGGATCGCCAGTGCTGGAGAGGAAGGAATGGTTAAGGTGAGTCATATATTATATTCCAGGAAAATGTATTTTTATCATGTCTTATCTTAAGTCTTCTTATCATCTCATATATAACATGATTTTCATTCTTTTCTATTACTATTGTATATGTGAGACAAAAGACATTGACCTTTATGTTACTTTTAAATTAGCTGTGGGACCTAAAGGCCGGTAGACAACTAAGGGAATTTTCAGAACACAAAGGTTCGGCCACAACCGTCGAGTTTCATCCGCATGAATTCCTATTAGCCAGCGGCAGCGCCGATAGAACTGTCCACTTCTGGGATTTAGAATCGTTTCAACTTGTATCTTCCACGGAACAGAGTCATTCTTCGGCCATCCGGTGAGTTAGATAAACAATAATTTTACAATGCAATTTTTCAATCTCTAATTTGTTTTGTTATCGCGCTGTTTCAGATGCCTATACTTTAGTCAAGGCGGAGAATGTCTCTTTGCTGGTAGCCATGACGTTTTAAAGGTTTACGGCTGGGAGCCGGGCAGGACTCTGGATACGATACCGACTAATTGGGGAAAAATCCAGGATATAGCCATAGCTCAAAACCAATTGGTAGAACAAAATGCCAGATTTTAAACTCTCGAATATGTACATTCGATGTCGTTTTTATTATGACAGGAAATTTTTTTCAGATCGGCGCGAGTCTTCATACTGCGAATGTTGTTCTGTATATATGCGATTTAAAAAAAATTGCACCACTGGGAGGAATATCTGCCGTGAGTTCACCATTCAGTCATGGAAATTCCTTGAGGAAGAGTTTTTCCAAAGAACGACCGATCGGATTAAAGAAGCATACGTATGTTTTTGCTTTATGAAGTTTAATTTTAACCACAAATTTTTACACCAACTGATTATCGTATACATATTTATATACGCTTGCAGATTAGATGTACGGACAATAGAAGAGGCGGATAAATCCGGCACCGATCCGGAGGACGAGGCCACCTATGCGGACATACCCAGCGTAACCGAGTACAGGGACGTTTTTCAACCGAGCAGGGCGTGTAAGTGATTCGTTACATCCGCCTTGTAATGTCTCATTGTTCACTGAGTGTGTGTGCGCGCGTATATGACAAAAATTCCAGACTAATATCTAACCCAATCCCTCGCAATCACTAGCGAACACACACAATATGTCAAACACGTTTAAATGTGAATGCAAACGCTGTACAGTTTGTGAATGAGCATGCCGTGCATGATATGTTGCAGTGTCTCGCACACCACCTCTCGAAACCTCCGAGGCTTTCCAGGAGCCTCATGACATAGGTGAGTTTCGATAACCTTTGCACGGATTGCGTTGGACTAAGTTACGATATAAGTTACGAAATGAAATTTTTACTACCATAGCATTAGAATCTTTCAAAAAAGTGTAAATATTGATATAACATTCAATCTTGGTATAATGCATGTTAGAATACGAACTTCACGAAAGTTGAATAATATGGATAAATTTTAATTATAAATTTAATTTATAAATCTAATATTTTTAATTATACCAGGAAAAACTTGTCTTAAGTTCTTTAAATGATTACTGTGATTTTGTTTTAAAGTGAGATTTTGAAATAACTTCTCTTTAAAAAAGAGGACGAATGTCATTGGTATATTATCAATCTATTTTAGATCCGGCACAACCACAGATACTGCAAAATCTCTCTACCTCAATGTCAAACCTGAGCACGATAGAGCGCGAGGAGATGCCGTCGATGCCATCCCCTTCTTCACCGCCCCCGCCGGCACCCACGTTGTCCCTGGCGAA